TCTCAGGACCTACAAAAAAGTCTCTTGGACCCAAGTGCAAAGTCGTACAGGAAGTCGGCCATTTTGGTCCAAGTACGCGATTTAGTGGTTTTCGCACACGTTGTTTGGAGAGTGATGCTCCGTCGTCCTTTTCACCAATCTCCTTCAAACTTCTGCCATATGCTCTTAAGTCATCGGGGAAAAAATTCAACCGTCGGATTTTTCAAAAGTTGAAAGGTGTGGGCGTGGCTAAGCCTCAAACTTTGACCTTTCGCCACGCCACTCTTTTTTTCACAGCTTCCTATTGGACTCCTTTTACCCAATCACCAATAATCTCTGGCAAATAGCAGTAGACAACTTGAGGTCACTTGGTATCCAGTACTGGCAGGTTTCGAGTAAAGGCGGGGCTTTGGCAGCATGGCGAAAATCACCATCACGCCATGGAAATACGTTTGCCTCTCATTTCTTCAGTTATTGTGATAGCGCTACGAAACTTCTTGTAAGTGATCCTTGTCTGACCCCCAAGAGACAAACATAGCTGAAATTTGTGGGCGTGGCCTATTTTCTTAAATAGCGCCCCCTAGGACCATTTAAACTAATAGCCCCAAGCCATGCTTTGACTGAAGATTACGAAATTTGGTACACTAATGTGGGGTCTCAGGACCTACAAAAAAGTCTCTTGGAGCCAAGCGTAAAGTCGCACAGGAAGTCAGCCATTTTGGTCCAAGTACGCGATTTAGTGGTTTTCGCACACGTTGTTTGGAGAGTGATGCTCCGTCGCCCTTTTCACCAATCACTTTCAAACTTCTACTATATACTCTTAAGACGTAGGGGAAAAAATTCAACCGTCGCATTTTTCAAAAGTTGAAAGGTGTGGGCGTGGCTAAGTCTCAAACTTTGACCTTTCGCCATTACTTTACTTGACTTAATAACTCCCATGTGCAAGATCAGATCTTTTTCAAACTTTGTCTGTGTGATCATTGACCATATCTGTAAAAAATGACAATGTGGACAGCTGACATCACCTAAGCCCCGCCCCCTGACCACAGGAAGTCTATTTTTTTATGCTGAAATGCCCATATTTGTCCCCTCTAATTTAGTCAACAAGACACCAAGGTCATGCACTGTCTTCATGATGCTGTATTGACCATTCAGATCTGATAGCTTTCCAGAAAGGGAAGGGCTTTGATGCCATGGCGAATTCTGGCGTAACGCCGCACCCTTACAATTCAATTTAATGGTGAGCTCAGAGGGGATGCTGAGTAAGGGTGAGGTGCGGACTAGGAGGCCATTTGCGGTTTCTAGTGTCGGGGCGGTTGACGTTTCTGTTCTGCCAGACGTGCCCTGGTGCCCCGGGCTGTCGGCCAGGCCGGAGCGGCGCGGAGCTGCGAGGGCCGAACGACGCTGCTTGCAGCTTTAATTTTTTTTCTTTTTCTTCCACGTCTTTGGGTGGCCTTTAGGGGGTCTTAGCATATCCAAAAACTCACCAAATTCTGGCCCAATATAGAAAGTGCGTGAAATTTACGTATTTCACTGGCAACGTGAAAGTTGGTAAAAAAATGTTTCAACAGCGCCCCCTAGAAAATTAAAAATACCCCTCCGCTTTGACCTTTTTTCATAGTAGAATGATGAAATTTGATACACTTGTAGAACTCAACAATACGCACAGAAAAGCCTCTTGCACCCATGGTCAATATCAAACAGGAAGTCGGCCATTTTGGAGTAAAGTGGCCATTTTGACCCCGTTTTGGCCATTTCTAGGGTCTATATTTGGTTGAACAGTTTGGTCATTTTTCGCACCATCGTCTCAAAAATACTGCGAGATCGAAAAGAACAGATGGACGATTCAAATGAGACAATAAAATTGACTTTTCGTAAATACTGAAGGGGCGGGGCCAGGCCTCAAAGTTCGAGCACTCGCCAAAAAAATTCAAATTGCTATAATTTCATAAATGAAAGAATTACAGTTAAAGAAATGTTCTATGGACAATCGTCATCGCCCACCGAAGACAAATGAATGGTCGATTGGTGATGTCACATAAGCCCCGCCCCCTCAGGACTTAAAAGGTCAAGTTTTACTGGGAAACTTTCCAAAATTCGCCCTTTCAAATAATCATCCCAGATTTGTAGCAGGTAACTGAAGACAAGTTGGGGTTGCTTGCCGTCACTTTATGGGAGTTTTCTGCAGAAGGCGGGGCTTTGGCGGCGCGGCGAAATCAGGCGTACCGACGTGGCCTTACGTTTGCCTCTCATTTCGTCATTTCTAGAGATATCGCCACGACACTTCTTGGAAGTGATCCTAGTCCGGCCCCCAAAAGAATCTGATGTGAACATCCGGTGGGCGTGGCCTATTTTCTGAAATAGCGCCCCCTAGGACAATTAAAACTGTCAGCCCCAAGCCATGCTTTGACTGAGGAGTACGAAATTTGGTACACTAATGTGGTGTCTCAGGACCTACAAAAAAGTCTCTTGGAGCCAAGTGCGATGTCGCACAGGAAGTCGGCCATTTTGGTCCAAGTACTCGATTTAGTGGTTTTCGCACACGTTGTTTGGAGAAGGATGCTCCATCACCCTTTTCACCAATCACCTTCAAACATCTGCTATACACTCTTAAGACATAGATGAAAAAATTCAACCGTCGGATTTTAAATAAGTATAAAGGTGTGGGTGTGGCTAAGCCTCAAACTTTGAACTGTCGCCACGCCACTCTTTTTTTCACAGCTCCCTATTGGCCTCCTTTTAACCAATCACCAGCAATCACTGGCTAATAGCAGCAGACAAGTTGAGGTCACTTGGTCTATAGTACTGGCAGGTTTCGAATAAAGGTGGGGCTTTGGGAGCATGGCGAAATTCGCCATCACGCCATGGAAATACGTTTGTCTCTCATTTCTTCAATCATTGTGACATCGCCACACAATTTCTGATGAGTGATCCTACTCTGACCCCTAATAGAATTGCACAGCTGAAGTTTGTGGGCGTGGCCTATTTTCTGAAATAGCGCCCCCTAGGACCATTAAAACTATCAGCCCCAAGCCATGCTTTGACTGAGGATCACGAAATTTGGCACACTAATGTAGTGTCTCAGGACCTACAAAAAAGTCTGTTGGAGCCAAGCGCAATGTCGCACAGGAGGTCGGCCATTTTGGTCCAAGTACGCGATTTAGTGGTTTTCGCACACGTTATTAGGAGAATGATGTCTCGTCGCCCTTTCCACCGATCACCTTCAAACTCCTGCTATATACTCTTAAGACATAGAGGAAAAAATTCAACCGTCGGATTTTAAATAAGTATAAAGGTGTGGGCGTGGCTAAGCCTCAAACTTTGACCAGTCGCCATTACGTTACTTGACTTAATAACTCCCATGTGCATGATCAGATCAATTTCAAACTTTGTCTGTGTGATCACTGACCACATCTCAAGACAGTGAAAATGTGGACAGCTGGCATCACCTAAGCCCCGCCCATGACTACAGGAAGTCTACTGTTTTATGGTGAAATGCCCATATTTGTCCCCTCTAGTTTAGTCAACATGACACTAAGGTCATGCACTGTCTTCATGATGTTGTAATGACCATTCAGATCTGATAGCTTTTCAGAAAGGGAGGGGCTATGATGCCATGGCGAATACTGGTGTGACCCCGTGACCTTACGTTTGACTGTAACTTCCACAAACAGCCTCCGATCTGCCCGAGACTGAACAAGGCAATCAACAATCATGCCCTTTATTCAACGAGGCACACAAGGTTGGTTAACTTTATATAATTTCACCACAGCGCCCCCTACACACCATTAAAACTAATAACTCCAACACACGAGGTCGTAACTGCACCAAACTTGCTATGTGTACTCACACAAAGGCACCCAACACAATCCTGTAGTAAGTTGTTGATATCGCTTTAGCTCCGCCCCCTGACAGATATTAGGCCCTGAATAACACATGCATGATGCAATTCACACCAAACTGCACACAAATGACTGTCATCAACCTACAATCTTCTTCATGGAATAATTCCTAAATTTGGGACAGCGCCCCCTAGATACAAAAAGCCTTTGTAACTTCTGCAAAAAAGCTCCAAACTACATCAAACTTTGTAGGAGTCATCACACAACTGCAATCAACACATGTATGTGATCACTTGTTCAATTCACTTTAACTCCGCCCACTTACAGCTTTTTGTCTCTAGATGACCCATGCAACGTTTGATTGATGACAAATTAACAGGAAACCATCTTTGATGACCAAAGATGACCTCTATGGGATTTAGTTGTAAATGGTCACAGCGCCCCCTAGATGGGTTCAAACTTTATTAACTTCTAAAGACAAGGTCAGAATGGCATTATACTTGGCTTGTGACATCACGTGACTGCACCAAACACACTGATATGGTTGTTGGTTCAAATCTCTGTAGATCCGCCCATTTCAGCTCACTGGCTCTAGATAACACACACAACGTCCGTTTGATGCCAAAATAAAAGAAAACTTTCTTTGTCAACCAAAGCTGACCTCAATGGGATTTTTCTGTAGTTGATCACCCTAGATAACTTTCACTTTCGATAACTTTAATAAACATGGGCAGAAAAGCATTAAAGTTGGTCTGTGTCATCACACCAACAGTGTGGTAAAGACAGAGTATGCCCTAGTGGTGAGACATGTAATATAATGGTAGGCTCAGAGGGGATGCTGAGTCAGGGTGAGGTGTGGACGAGGTGACCGTTAGTTGTTCTTGGTGTCGGGGTGGTGGACGTTTCAGTCCGTGGACGTGCCCTGGTGCCCCGGGCTGCCGGCCAGGACGGAGCGGCGGGGAGCTGGGTTTGGAGAGTGTCGGGGATGGAGTGGAGGGGGTGCGGACGGAGGGCGAGCAGCTTCGCTGCGAGGGCCGAACGACGCTGCTTGCAGCTTTAATTCTGATTATTATTGCTCAAAGAAGACCTTAAAAAAACTATTTTTCAGGAGCTTTAACAGTCTGCGCTCTCACTTCCTCGTCCTACATGCAATCACCTCCACAAACACAATTTCAGTCGTACAAATGACTCAGTAAAATTTAATTGAAATCTTAAAAAAAACAAACAGATTAATTTCTCATGATCTAAACCAACATTTCGCCCCAGGTTAAGAACAAATAAGTTCTCATAAGAGTTTAGGCCTCCGGTGACCCCACGTGGCCTGAACCCCTCACGCTCCCTCGGCTCAGCACAGCAGGTCAAACATCAGCTCGTCTCAGCATCCTGAACGTCTTCCTGTCCAGCACAACATCAGCTCTCCTGTTTGTCTTTGACCAGCAAGACGGTGTGCTGCCCCCCACTGGACGCCATCAGAACTTCACGGTTCTCCAGCTGTTTGCCTGTCATCTTCACGGGGCTCCACTCATCCTCCTCCTCTCCTGTTCCAAGCTGCAGGTTGGTTCCCATGCCCCAAGCATACACCGATCCTGAAAACACACAAACACGCTTCAGTAAGAACTGATATCTAGTCTGGTTTCATTTAATGTGGCGAATATTACAACCAGTTTAAGCTTTTAGCGATCATCAAAAGGTACGAGAACGTGTGGTAGTTCCCAAAAGCCCAAACGACTCTGCTGCCCACCTTCTTTGGTGACGGCGTAGCTGACAGAAGCCCCACATGACACTTCCCGGGCCGACTCCAGCCCTGTCACCGGCGTGGGCTCGCTCTTCTCTTCAGCTCCTCGACCCAGCCCGAGGCGACCGTACTCGGCTCTCCCAAGACTATAAACCTGCCCTAAACATGTGAACAAAAATCAAAAGCAAAACAATTCTGTTAGTTTTTTTTTTTTACGTTGGTCAGAATAAAATCAGAGTACGGCGACCCGTCTGTCCACCTTCAGAGTCTAGGCAGAGCGTGTGATGTTGGCCTCCAGAGAAGTCCACCCAAGTGGTCGTTGAGTTCTTGAAACACGTCAGCTTCACCGGGACGAAACACATCTTGGTGCTTTTAGTGCCTGGAAAGAAAAACAGGATTAGCAAACAGTGGGACCACTCACTGGCACGGTTCAGTTCCCACGACACAAACTCAAGACTCACCGAGCTGGTGGTAGTTTGAGAGGCCGAACCCATAAATGTATCCTTCTTTAGACATGGCAAAGGTAAGATACGCCCCGCAGAACACATCCGTAAAGTGAACCCTCCTATTGAGTTTCACCATCTGAGGCACCAGCAGTCGCTCTGGAACCAAAGCACAAGTTTAACTAAACAGAGACACACGAATGTCTTCAGCCGCGTTCTTTTTACCCACCGAGACCTCTCCTGCCCCCTCTGTTTGAAAACTGCTCCGGCACTCGTCCCAGCTGTCCCTGTTCTGCAGAGCCTGATGTGTACAGATCTCCGTCCAGCGTCAGCAGGACCAGGTGGTCATTCCCTGTGAAAGCAGCAGAGTTCCTGTAAACTGGGATTAAACCAAAGGTGTGGAGCTGAAACACAGTAGGGGTTGTATGAACTAGTCGACTTCACTGCTCTGTAGTGACTTTTTATGCCTGTCATCGACTATTCGCTGTCAGGTGATAATGACCGGCAAGATGCAGTCCTCGGAAAATACAGCAGGTGATGAGCTCCTGCGCGTCGGGAGGTAACGCGCTGTGCCAGAGCGTCGGTACTGACACCCGCCGTAAAACGGACATTTAACCAAATTGTGACCTTTACCCTCTTGTAATTTAACCTTCCCCTCACCCCCATCCTAACCTTAACCAGCTTGCGCATGCAAAGCTCTGATCGTTGACGCGCTCCAGACATCTGCGTCCTGAGCACAGCCACAGTAACATTATCAAATCAGGTGTCGCCACCTCAAAAACAAATTTAACATGCGATCGTTCATATCGGCTCATTTCCTTTTATGTATTCTGTCTTTTATTCTTTTATTTGTGCCTGATGTGTTTCGCTGCTGTTGATTGGGGCGCATCACCTGTTTTGTCCTCAGTGAAGCACCTAACTGATGCGGCCGGCAAGCAGCACGCACTCCGCTGTTTTTGCGGTCGGTAGATCTTTTAGAACTGCAGTTCAAAGGTAACTCATAAGGTGAATATATATGAACCCAGGTAGCAGTTTCTCTTTAGGATTGAGAGGAGATGCAGGAAGATAATAAACAGGCAGGACAGAAAAATAGTCAAATAAAAACAAGTTAGTTTTTGTACCTGGTGGTTGCAACAAACAGACACCATTGAAGGTAATCAGAAGAGAGGAACACAAAATGAAATAATTATTTTAATGTTTAGAGCAGCAGGAACTCCGAGAGGCTGCAGGCGCATCAGTGAGTTTGTGGCCGCTGCGCAGGGGGAGGGGGGAGAGGGCTGAAGCAGGGGGAGGGGGGAGATGGCTGAAGCAGAAACTACCGTTGTTAAAAGAAATGTGTTTAACTTTGAAAATGTGGGCGCAATTTTATTTGTCACCCCCCCCCCCCCCCCCCCCCCACTTCAAGTGTATGACGTCATCAACGACTAGTCAAAGTCGACTCAATTTTTATTACTTGGCAGTCGACTTTAAAAAAAATTAAGTCATGCAGCCCCTAAAACACAGCATTGTCTACCTGAAGCAACTTTCACTACAGCCTCTGTCAGCTGGATTTTAACAGGAACGGGACACGTCGCCATGGGATCCAGAAGACCAATCACACCATTGTTGTCCTGAGAGGAGCAAAAGCAAACACACAGAGAAAATAATAAACGATTTTTATCGTCCCAGCTGCTTAAATGTTGTTTGTAAACAGCAGTTGACCAACCCTGAAGGAGCCCCAGATGTACACATGTCCATCCTCTGTGAGTGCAGCTGTGTGGCTGTCCCCTGCAGACACCTGGACCACCTTCTCCTCCAGAGACACCTTTCCTGGGACCATCTCAGATCCTTCTTCTGACGTGTCCCGTCCAAGAGCTCCCTCATCATTACAGCCAAATGTGTAGACCTAAACAAATTAACAGTGTTAAACTTGTGGCTTCTCTGTGAAAATAAAGAGAATAAAACCAGGACTGATGTTCACGTACATGCCCGCTTTCACTCAGACACACGGTGTGCATGCCTCCTGCTGCCACTTGCACCATTTTCTCCGGTAAAGACAGAAAAGCTGGCTTCTTCCTCTCAGTGATGTTCTCACCCAGGCCCAGCTGTCCAACATCACCCTGGCCCAGAACTAGAACCTGGCCTGCCTCTTTACGATGACTCCTGTGAGAAACTGATACAAATACAGACACAATCACATCACATTTACAGTAAAATAAACAATCGTGCGGTTGTCTTTTAAACCCAACTGTGTTTTATTCAATAAGAAACAGAAGGTTCTTAAAGCAGTCTTCTAGTCAGCTTGGTAAAGACATTAAGGTCTGCTCGTCCCTTTTAACCCTGTTTTAATGTCGTACCTTTCACCTTTTTTGATTCACCGACATCTTCTCCAACAGCTGCAGACTTTCTTTTATGGACGGTCTTTCTGGAAGACATGGCAGTCGCACTGAAAAAAAAAACAAAAAACAGAAGGAAAACATGAACACCCACAAAAACCCCCCGATCTGTGATAAAAAATATATATCGAATAAAATACCAACTAAAATATCATAATGACAATGAATTCAATGTGTTACACATTCTAAAGACCAGCAAACAGTCCAAGTGTACGACCGAAGAGCCTTTATCACAGCTGCAGCTGATGGGACTCACCAGCTGTCAGATGGTCAACGCAGCAGCTGACGCAACAGTTGTGTGGTGATTCACACACACACACACACACACACACACACACACACACACACACACACACACACACACACACACACACACACACACACACACACACACACACACACACACACACACACACACACACACACACACACACACACACACACACCTTAGGGCGATATATCGGGCCAATATTTGTCCTTGGTAAAGCCGATTTAAAGTCAGGGACATACTCGAACAGTCCGATGATGTTGCAGGAGTTAATTTAAACACGTTTTACATTAGCTAATAACATCTGCATAATACTCTAAATTAACTTTATTTAGATGTCTGACTTTAACACTGAACAATGCACAAAGTTAAGATTTAACAGTTAGTTAAATTCAGAGTTCAAAAACGGATTCAGCTTCACAAATTGTGAGAATCAGCTGATGTTATTAGTGACATTTTAGCATGAAAATCAGGTGGAAACTAGGGATGTAAGAAAATATCGATATGGCAATATATCGTGATATTTTTTCCTGCAATATTATATCGATATTCAAAAGCCGTGTATCTAATTTTTGGAAGAATTTACATGCAAACATTTGTGTATTTTCTTTTGGTGCAATTCAAACGCTTATCGCGAGTTGGCAGCAGTGTGTAATGGGTTTTGTTTCCGCCATTAAAATGTAAACCCATCTGTTATGGTTTCGATACCTCATGTTAAACATGTTAAGTATCAGTTTGGACTGTTTATTACATTTTCTTACAATGAAACATTTTCTTACAATGAATTCAGTCTAAAAAAATCACTAAAATCCTCTGGCTGAATGTATCGTAATATTTATCGTCTCCCCTGTATTGTGATACATATCGTATCGGCAAAATTTCACCAATACACATCCCAAGTGGAAAACATCTGGATATAGTCAATAAATTCAGTAGTAGATATCGGCCATCGGCTAATAATGTCTGGGCATCATTGTCGTTGGTATCGGCCAACCTCTAGTTTTAATCAATAACTGAGATTATAGTCAAACAACAAAGTTGTGTTTATGTAGTTCCCTTATTACTGATTTTGAAGTATTGATGAAAGACACACAAAACACTTCTGCTGCCAGGATTATGTTCCCCTTGGGAAATCATTAAATCGAGGCTCACCTGGTCAACAGAAGAAATGTTATTGAGTCAACTTTACCAGAAAATACAAATAAACAAGATCTAAATGAAATAATTTGACATAAATGTGTCTTTAAGAGTTCTATTTCGTCTAGTCTTAGCCCTTAAGCTAGCTGCTATTGGAAGGATGATCTCCGCATCAGCCAATCATGAAGAGCTTAAATGTACGCCCACCAATAGTGGGCCCCCTCGTGGTATATAACCGCAGTGACCCCACTGCTCACCTCCTTTTTCTCTTCATGCCAAGCTTGAGAGCTTTATTAAAGAGCAAATATTATCTCAAAAGAGCGAAATTATCCGAAGACGACTTACCAGCCATGTCCAGCGACGCCAGACCCTGCCCGACCTGCCAGACGGGCTCCATTTCCAGCGGAGACCTGCACACTAAGTGTGAGGTCTGTCTCGGGGCTCACCACGCTGGCCTGGCCTTGACCCCGCAGGCCTCGTGCCCGTTCTGTGCCGCTCTGCCCGTGGCAGAGAAGATTTGCCGGGTCGAGTACTTCACTCCCGCCGCCGACGAAGAATTTCCGGTGGCTGACTCCTACCCGCTGGACAAGGCTTTGGTTTTCTTCGACGCCGGTCAGGAGCCGGCTGGCTTCAACCGGCTGGATGACGTCACCGACAGTGAAAACTACGATGAGGCGGCATCCCTCCTAGACATAACGGAGGTCGACGAGCTTCGCTCAGCGGGTCCTTCTGCCCCAGTGGCTTCTCGCTCCTCCCTGCCAGCAGTAAGAGCACTGCTCCAGGAGCTGCCCGCCATCATTTCTGCGGCAGCAGCCCGCAAGGGGCTAGCTGTGCCAGAACCGGCCCTGCCTGAAGCGGATGATTTGGCGGGAATTTTCGTGGCAACTCAGACACGCTGTCCAGACCCTGTCTGGCCGCGCTTCCCCGCTGCTATGAGCTGCTGGTCTGCCGCCTTCTCCGAGCCTGCCAAGCTCAAGGCGCCAGTCTCCACGTATGCGCCCATCACCAAGGTCGAGGGGTTTTCCAACCAAGGCTGGCCGTCCGTTCCTCCACTAGAGCCGGATTTGGCCTCGCTGTTCGGCGCCAAGAACCACCTCGCTGGCCCGCGAGCTGTTCCCGCTTCAAAACATGACCAGCTGCTGACGCGGCTCACCGACCGCGCACATCAGTGTGCCTTTCAGACCGGCGCTGCAGGGAATAACATCGCCCTTCTTGCCTTCGGCGTCTCCAAGATGATGGAGGAGCTGGAAGCTCCCGAGGAGTCGAAAGCCGTCATAACTAAGACTGCTGATGCTATCCTCAATTTGTGTGCTGCTGTGCTCACCGGTTCTACTCGCATCGCTGCCTGGCAGACCCTCATCCAGCGAGCGATCTGGCTGAAGGCCCTGCCCTCCATTCCGGAACATCTGCAAAGGGAGATGCTGGATGGCCCCATCACCACCGATGTTCTGTTTGGTCCCCATCTTAGGGGCGTCATTGAGAGTGCTCAGAAGACGGCCGAACTATCGGCTACGGTGCGAGACCTGGTCCACCCTCGGTCAGCCTCGCACTCCGGCCGTTCAGCCAGAGGATGGGACGGACGGCGCGGAAGCTTCAGACGTCCAGCTGCACCGCCCGCTCCACGGAGCCGGCCTCCCGCTTCGGCTCCGCATCAGCGGGACCAGCGAGATGGCGGACAACGGTTCCGGCGGGGCCAGCAGACGCCGTCTTGGCAGTCCCAGGTGCAGGAGCCTCGCCGAAAGCAGCCACGGAAGTGACTCTTTGGGGGGAATGTGTGTGTTACTGATTGTTCTGATGTTGTTGGTTTTGAAATAAAACCCAAAAAACGTCACTCAAAGAGCTCAATCCTACAGTCCTCCGCAGAATCCTCTGCCGAGTTTTCACACATGTTCCCCACACCAAGCACTGCTGCACGCACACATGTTCCTGCAGGTAGTCATAATACACGGCCAGCCGTAAGGGTGCGCTCCATTTGCGCTCTGGCCCCAGCATCCGGCCAAGCCCAACTCTTCCCGCTCTCCCCACGCCGTTGGGTGGGGCGGGATGTCATGTCGCTGTCTCGACCACGCGCGGCGGCACAGTGCGCGGCTCCATCCGCTAGCACTCTGTCGCCCCCGTGCACAGGCCCGGCTCCCACTCGTCCTTCACTCTCGGACTCCACGCTCTGCGGTGTGGACCAGCCTGTTCCAGCTGTTTCGCACTTGCCCTTTCGAGCGCAGCCCTCCATGGGTCGCCCCCAGTTCTCTGGTACGGGCGACGGCGGTAAGGGCGCATGCACAACCCTCAGACGTTGTTCACGTGACCGCGCACACGCGTCCATTGTCGGAACGCGCGCACGAGTGGCGCCGCCTTTGCATCATGAGCAAATGGATTTCGGACACCATTCATTGCGGTCACACACTTCATTTTCAGGCCACTCCACCTCCCTTCAACGGGATCGTGGAGACGACGTTCACATCGCAAGTACAGTCTCAGGCGCTAGAGCTGGAGCTGCGGGAACTTCTGTCCAAAGACGCTATTTCCCGAGTCCCTCGCGGACAAGAACTCTCGGGTTTCTACTCCCGCTACTTCGTAGTACCGAAGAAGTCGGGAGGAATGAGGCCGATTCTCGACCTGTCCTCGACCTTCAACTGCTCCATAGCAGTAATGCATTTCCGCATGTTAACGATGAGACAAGTCCTGGAATATGTGCGCCCCGGGGATTGGTTCACGTCAATCGACCTGAAAGACGCATACTTCCACATACCAGTAGTTCCAAACCACCGGAAGTTTCTGCATTTTTCGTTCAAGGGAGTTAAATATCAGTTCAATCGCCTCCCTTTCGGCTACTCGCTAGCCCCGCGCACCTTCTCCAAATGTCTGGAGACCGCGCTGCAGCCACTGCGCACGGAGGGAATGAGGGTCTTATTTTTACATGGACGATCTTCTCCTGTGCGCTCGGTCCAAGGACGAGGCGTCACAGCAAACCAGGAGGTTGACAGGGCATCTGTCAACCCTAGGGTTTTCTATAAACTGGGAAAAGAGCTCCATCCTTCCATCCCAGTCGATTGTGTATCTCGGGGTGGAGTTGGACGCCTCCCTAATGAGAGCACGTTTGTCGCCTGCAAGAGCGGCAGATCTCTCCACGGTGATCTCCCGTGTTCAACCCCGCAAGATCGTGAGAGCCCGGTTAGTCATGAAACTCCTGGGCATGATGTCCGCAGCCCATTCAGTAGTGCCGCTAGGTTTGCTGCGCACGAGGCGCTTGCAACGCTGGTTCGTCCGCCTCCGGGTACACCCGATACGTCAGAAGAGACGTATGTTGAGGATTCCCCCTTCAGTGGGCGGGGACCTCGCTCACTGGGGGAACCCCTGCATCCTCTCACGCGGGGTTCCCATCGGACGTCCTGCGTCACACGTATCTGTGTTTACGGATGCGTCACTGTCGGGGTGGGGGGGCACGTGCTTGTCCCATACGGTGGCAGATCGCTGGCCCTCCCACACGCACGAGCACATACATGTGTTGGAGCTTATGACAATGAGGAATGTGATCAGACACTTCGCTGCCCTTCTAGAGGGCCGTCATGTCGAAGTTCACACAGACAACCGGGTAGCGGCAGCCTACATAAATCGCCAAGGGGGAGTTCGATCCCTCCCACTGTTGCGTGTCGCCACAGATTTACTGTGTTGGACACATGTCCACCTGCTGTCCATCAGAGCCATCTACATTCCGGGGGTACTGAATGTAGCGGCAGACATCCTGTCGAGAGGGGGACCCCGCGACTCCGACTGGCGTCTACATCCTGCACTGATATCACAGATCTGGATCAGGTTCGGGGAACCGTCTGTGGATCTGTTCGCGGCTCGTGAAAACGCTCAGTGTCGCCTGTGGTTTTCCCTGAGTCCCTGGGACGGACCCCCGCTCGGGGCGGACGCCTTCTCACACCAGCCCTGGCCTCGAACGCTCCTTTATGCGTTTCCACCAGTCCCTCTGATTCCCCGTCTCCTGGACCGAATTCGGTCGGAACAGCTCTCGGTGATTCTGGTGGCTCCCAGACGCGTGTCCGCGTCATGGTTTCCGGACCTGCAAGCGCTAGTGTCCGGCTCCCCGTGGAGGCTCCCGTGGAGGGCGGACGCCCTTCTCCAGGCGGATGGGATAATCAAACATCCTCTGGAAATAGGCCAATGGCTGTGGGTCTGGCCGCTGAGCGGTCACGCTTAGAGGCTTCTGGGCTGCCGCATGATGTGGTCGCCACGATTCAGAGTGCGCGGGCGCCCTCTACCATTGCGTCTTACGCTGCTAAATGGGCAGCTTCCAGAACTGGTGTGCAGAACGGAATGTTCAAGCGCTCTCCTGCCAGCTGGCGGATGTCCTATCGTTTCTGCAGATACTGATGGACAGGGGCCTCGCATTCAGCACTGTTAAGACATATGCTGCAGCTATCTCATCATGTCATCAGGGTTTTGGAGATAGATCTTTTTTCAATCATCCCCTCACAAAACGTTTTCTAAAAGGTGTCAGGAGGAACAGACCTGTGTCCCGCCCGCTTTTTCCCCAATGGGATCTAACGGTGGTTCTGCGTGGCTTATCTGAAGCTCCATTTGAACCCTTGGACCAGGTCTCACTCAAGTTCCTGTCGCTTAAAACTGCATTGCTGCTGGCGCTAGCATCAGTTAAGAGAGTGAGTGACCTAACCACCCTCTCAGTGGCTCCCGCATGCCTCAGGATCCGGGAGGATGGCGGATCTGCTGTTTTATGCCCCAACCCAGCCTTTGTGCCCAAAAGCATTAATGCTTCCTTCAAATCCAGGTCAATCTCATTGGCTGGACTTTTTCCTCCTCCCCATAATTCTGAGGAGGAGGCGGCTTCTCACCTTCTCTGCCCGGTGTGCGCGCTTGCACGATATGTGTCACGCACTTCAGGGATTCGTCGCTCACAAAACCTGTTTGTGCACTACAGGGAGTCTTCCCTTGGTCAGGCGCTGTCGGCCCAGCGCCTTTCACGCTGGCTGTGTGACGCCATTTCCCTCGCTTACACATCATCAGGGCAGGATCCCCCTGAGGCACTCAGGGCTCACTCAGCCAGAGGGATTTCTTCTTCGATGGCGCTCCTCAGTGGTGTGTCAATGGAAGACATTTGTCAGGCTGCTTCATGGGCTTCCCCATGTTCCTTTACTCGTTATTATTTACGAGATGTGTCTTCAGGATCCATCACTCGTTCAGTGCTTGGACCCCAGCAGGCTAAATGAATGCTTATGGCACCCCATTGGCCTTGCTGAGATGGATTTCATCCTCTTGTGGATGATGTTTTTTAGTGGGGGCCCCTCTCTTATCGTGCCTGCCTCAGTCTTTAAGCCTGGTCTGAGGCTGAACGTCCCCCACTAGAGGAGATTTGATTGGGTGTGTCCATTGGTTGTGTTAACCAGTGGGGCGTAAACCCATCCAGCTGCGCTTTATTCCAATAGCAGCTAGCTTAAGGGCTAAGACTAGACGAAATAGAACGTTGGTTACGTATTGTAACCCCAGATTCTATGAGTCTAGTTGCAGCCCTTAAGCCACTGGCCCCACTGGTTATGATGGGAATAAGAGCCATTGGAGGTGAGCAGTGGGGTCACTGCGGTTATATACCACGAGGGGGCCCACTATTGGTGTGCGTACATTTAAGCTCTTCATGATTTGCTGATGCAGAGATCATCCTTCCAATAGCAGCTAGCTTAAGGGCTGCGACTAGACTCATAGAATCTGGGGTTACAATACGTAACCAACGGTCTAAAATCACGCTTTCTCGGTTTTAAATAGAAATGTGTTTTAAAAAGCTCTACCGTAAGGGGTGCTTTAACCAAACCAGCATGTCAGACAGACAGACAGCACACGAAATACCACAAATCTACTGAATCGGAGGCTTTGCAACATTAATTACTAACCTTTAACAAGAGCACGTGTGTGTGTGTGTGTGTGTGTGTGTGTGTGTGTGTGTGTGTGTGTGTGTGTGTGTGTGTGTGTGTGTGTGTGTTGCTACAGCAGTAAACAAGGCCAATTTAAACCCGTCGCCTGACCTAACACTGTTGTCAACACCCATGTGCCACTGCTAACATTCTGAGTTAGCTGTTTTACGATCCAATCTGAAGGGAATTCTTCACTCCCAATAAACGTGACGCACCTATTACACTTCCCCTAACAAACAGTAAAGAAAATACACGATTTCACATAAAATCATTTATTTTTGGGCAATAAATAAAAGCTGTATGAGACTGAATTACTTTCTAGCTGTTGCCTGCTAGCTATCGGTGTTAGCATCACACCGAGGAATGAATTCATTATTGTAACAAAGTTTCTGTTCGCTGACCAGTAATATGTTCATATGTTACTGTCGGCTGTTTGTTCAACAACTTGGGTTTAAGAGCAGAAGAGTTACTGACCTGAAAACACAGATAAATTGGTGGTTTGACTAGAGGTGAACGCTAAACTGCCTGTTCCCGGTTTTCAGACATGCAACTCACGCGAGACTTCACGTTGTTTGAAACCTGTGGAAGGCTGGTTTTCTTAAAGAGACCGCGGCACTTAAAACGCCATCCAATGGGTAATGATCTGATGTGCTATTATTGTACAGTACCATTTTTGTACCTCAACCAAGTATAGCAAGCATTTTCTTTCTTTCTTTCTATCTATCTATCTATCTATCTATCTATCTATCTATCTATCTATCTATCTATCTATCTATCTATCTATCTATCTATCTATCTATCTATCATCTATCTATCTATCTATCTATCTATCTATCTATCTATCTATCTATCTATCTATCTATCTATCTATCTATCTATCTATCTATCTATCTATCTATCTATCTATCTATCTATGTCAAATATACACATCTTGCAGAAAAAAAATAAACAAATTAACATTTAGGCAGATAAAAACTGTCAGAAGCAAACTGGAATCACAATTCTCTATGCAAAAAACCCACAATGTTATGAGCAAAAGATTAATAAATAAATAAAAATATACTGTAGACAATTTTCAAGTACTGAAGTTTTACATCCATTTTTACTGCAGAATAATTATGTCACACTATGTTTTTTTTAATGCTTATAGCATACAGGTGGCCAATTCTCACAGAAATATATATTTAGGTAACATTACATTCAGACTCAGCTTTCAGTTAAATGCTCTGCATATTTGTAACCCTTTTATGCACAGGCCCATGTCTAGGTCTCCCTGCTAGCGCCTGCTCTTTGTTGGCCTCACATGCTTCAGCATGATACTCAGACACTCTCCAGCCTGGTCTTATCTTTGTTTTAGTTTTATGTCTGTGAAAGGGAATGCTAGCCTTACGTAGTGCATTCACTGTCATCATACAAGTTACCTACTGCTGCTATGTGTTCTACGGAAAGTACGAGTTATGTCTATTTCAGTTGATGTAATCTTGAACACATATAATTAAAATAGGTTTAATGAATTTTAGTAATTAAGTAGTTTGTATAAATGAAGCCATTCTGTTTTTACTGTTATCTAATATCTGTCTATGCTGTTAATGCTAACCCGTGGTCATTTTGAAGGTGTTTTATTTTGAAGGAACCTACAGGAAGTGCAGAGTTTTGTCTTGTGTAGCGTTATAAATGTTGCCTGTTAGTAACAGCATTCATCCGCTAGAGGTCAGAAAAATTCTTACTCTTGAAAGCAAGTCACCCCCAAATAAACTTATTTTTTGCTGATAAACTACATAAATGAATGTCGTGCTGTAGACAGGTGTAGTCAATAATTTGGTACTTTAATGCATCCTAGTTAAAATGTAAAAATTCTGCTTAAAACTGTCAGTGTTGCGCCCTCTTCAGGTAAAACCTCTGCACTGCATTTGAATTGAAATCTGCCATTGCTGTTGGCTAACAGGTACACAATGACGTTAGCTGGTACATTATGATGTCACAGTGTCGTTGTGACCCTGTGTGTGTGTGTGTGCATTTGTAAGCGGCTCCGCCCTCTCAGTCAGGGTTGGGCATCATTTGATTTTGAACCATTCCGATTCTAATTCCTCAGTTTGATTGCGGTTCCTATCGATTCCCGATTCCGATTCTTTGAAGTCATGACATGTGGTACATGAGCCAGCTAACCACAGGTCCTACTTGATGAAATAATCTTAACTTCAACATGAATTTTAATTCTATGAACAATAACATCACCTTCATTTGGACAAAAACGTGTTTTGGAGGAAAAAAGAAAAAGACTTGCAGCACAACCAGTGTGTTTGTTTCTGACCACAACCAAAGTCTGGAAGCAGCCTCTGGGATGAGAGGCTAAATGTCTCCAACATATCCAGAAACGTGCAGCCGATTTCAGCTAAAACTCTCAGGATGATCATGTCCAGGATGACTGAGAACTACACCTCCATGCTGCAGCAGCATTCAGTCAGAACAGGAAGTGAAACGTAAATGTAGCTGCTGTCAGCAACAATCTAACAGATTTTAAACATTAAGACTCAACAGAAATAGTTCAGAAAGGAAATTAAAATGTTCACAACTTATTATTATTATATAAATATTTATTGTGGCAGAAGCTGGTGTGGTCCACCACAGAGAAGCTGCTCTAGCATGATAACTTTAATTATTCTACAGGTTATTGTTCAGCCTTCTGACCTCACACACACACACACACACACACACACACACACACACACACACACACACACACACAGAGTGTTGGTGAGCGGCTGCGTCTGACTGCTGATGCTCCGTGTGTGTTTTATTTCTGCAGTGATACAATCTCACCTCACACCGTCCAGAGTTTGTTCTTTAAAGCTTCTATTAAATCCACCGTGTTGACGTAGTTTAACAAGTTTCCTCTACGCTGCAGGAGTTAAAGTTTACATTACGGAGTAAAAGTTCGGCAGACGCGTTTGTTTATATCTGGGAGGGGGGAGGGGGGACTCGGTGCTACACAGACAGCTGGTGTGATCAGCTCTGATAAGCGTTGATCACAATTTGCAGATCACGTTTATTTTTCACGGAGATCGTCCGCGGATTCCTCTTCCGGTTGGCATTCTAGGAATCAAAATAAAAAACTTTGAACGATTCTGGGAAAAACTAACTCTTGGTGCCATTTCCAATCGATGCTCGATGCCCAACCCTACTCTCGGTCTGCTAGGCAACAGCATTTGTTGCCTTTTTCAAACAGGAAGTGGGAGTGGAGTAAGACTCTGGTAGGGGGTGACTTGCTCTTTAAGAATTGGGTTCACGTGTTTCCATCCAGCTGACCTAAATAAAACATTTAAAATTAGGTTTAGACAAAGAACAAACTGCAGTCTCTAATAATGAATTTTTCCAAGCAAATAAATCTAAAATGTTCAAATTAAGTGAGATTTAGTCAGAACACATAATTTTCATTTAAACTGAAGCAAAACATCATTAAGGACCTTCAGAGGCCCAGCTGCCTTCATTCACACCTACTAGCAGTGTAATAATCCTAATTTATTTCATTTTAATTTCAAGAGTGTATCTGATGTATTTTAAAGTAATGTTTTAAAAACCATCTCCCCAAAACTAATGTCAGTTTTAACAAGGTTATATAAAAACACGTCTGATGCAGCCTGATTTCACAGGAGGTTCAGAGAGTTTTATTTAATTAGATTCAGTCGTGACTATTTACAGTTAAAACTGTCAGAATTTCACATCCAACTGAAAACAAACTTAACTTTTCCAGGAAAAAGTTCACTTTCATATTTCCATTCTTGTAGCAATGAATCATAAACTAATGTTCTGCACTTAAAAAAATAGCAACCTATAATACTTTAAATTCTTCTTAATTGGAAGGAAGACAAGATATACAGAAGCAATAGTTAAACCTGTCCACCTGTACAGCAGAGAGAACCCCTTCAGCTACTGGCCAGACCAAAAAAATAAAACCAGTTAAAACATCTGCAGCTTCAAAGCGACTCCCAGTTCACCGTTTATACGTTTTCAGACGTTTTTGATAAATCCCTGATCTATGTTCGTGTGAAACTCTCTGTACAGACGCTACCTTCAAGACCCTACTCAAAAACGGCTACAGAAGTCTGATCTTTAAAGGGAAGTACAAAAACTCATAAAAAGTATAAATGAGGAGAGATCATCCAGGTATAATGGCACTGGACTCCATGTTGGCTCGTGCAGCAGATCGCAGTCCGTTTCCTATCAGTCCTTGAGGCATCGCTGATGTTGGCACACACACCGACATCCCACTCGGCCGCCTCCTTCTCCGTAACGCTAGAGTAATTGGCCACCGCACATCACAAACACAGGCAGACAAATAAAAAAGGCTTGAATAAAAGCGGTCACTACCATGTAATCAGAATTACAAAATAAAACATCTTGTGCATTACAGAATATTTCCTCATTGCATTCTAAGGTTTAACAGTCTGTACACAATCAATATATAAAACACAATATCCCCGAGATGCCCTGTTCTAAAGCTTCTCCATCCTCTCCCGACCCAGCCCCGCTTACCTATTATTACTGTGTGATAGGTCATTCTTATTATTACCGCTTTAATTGTAAGATATTACATCAGCAAGATGAGTTAGTGTTTCATATGCAGTAAAGGAAAAAAAGGCAACACAGAATGAGGCCGCGTTAAAGGTTTTCACTAATCCGAGTCCCTGAGGGGCGCCACACAGCAGCAGGGGGAGAGAGAGCCCTGTGGTTCGTTAGGTCCTTCGTTGGCACGTGGCTCCCCCTGTTGTCCGGGAGAAATACTGCATCTAGTCCTCACCCACCACCTCCTCAGTTCAGCACAAGCAGTGCAGGGGGAGAGAGAGAGAGTGCAGCGGAGGGCAAGCGACAAGCATCCAGAGTCAGTTCCAGGCTTTCCCTGATCAACAGCACGGCACATTCCAGAAAGGTAAGAAGGGGAATCTGCACACGGAGCAGCTTGTTCTTCACAAAAATCTTAAGTGCTTGTGGATGCTAAGGCCGATGAAACCTGGGAGAAACAAACAAACAGAAGATTACTTCAGCAGACCTGCCAACCGTGTCAAATTTCTGGAGTACCACACGCGTGGACTGTTGCTACTCCGTTGCTGTCCACGCTGTAATGTCCCCGTTCACTGGCTGGACACCGCTTCTCAAACAGTCCAAAGTATCACGTATTTAATGTTCACTAACCAGTAAAACTCAAAAGTTGCCTATCTTATAAAAGCCGATAGCCACAAGCTGCTAGCACTGAAATATTTCAATACCTAATTATTCAAAAATAATATAAATATATATTTTAATATGTACTACTGGTAATTATTTCTTTTGTATATAGCAGCAGGTGGTTCAACAAGGTCCTAATAAATAGGCTTAGCCCTCCCACTGTCCTACTGGGTGACCCCGCCAGGAAGGTTGACCACTGAGCAGGGTCGATGGTTTATCCCTCCAGGTCCACGTGGCGGGGGTGAGGTGGTGCTCACTCCTCACCCCTGCTCTCTTTCTCGTAAAAACAAACAAATAAATATTCACATCGACAAGCCATCTCTGAGGTGATCCGTACGCATGTTATGCTACATACAACTTCCATAACTGAATTAGCTCCAGTATCAAATGTTGATTTGCACAAACTGCATGTTTTATGCACGGAGGCTGCAGATCTGTTGTGTGTGAGCAGAGGCGTCCAGAACGTTACGCCTCGCTGCCGGTGGAAAGGAGCTCGTCCACCGCCACGGAGACTGATTGCCGCGTAGTGTGTTTCACATCCGTTTTGCAACGCTTTTACGTCCGGTGGAAAGGAGGGGTTCGGATCAGTTAAACACAAGCTGCTGATAGCTCCCTGAACAACTTTGGTTTGAGGAAACAGAGACTAGTTCCAGGTCTAACAGACTTCAGTTCCCGAGCACGATTTAAAACAGCAGCAATCCACTTCTACTTTATTTCTCCAAACTGAGGTCATTCAATGAGCTTTCAACAACAAGTGAGACATTCATGTACAGAAACGAACCTCATTTTGCTAAATGATTCCTTTTTAGGCCTCAGATGAAACAGAAGTCGAACAAAAACACCCTTTTGGTGAAATTTCTACACTTTGAACTAGAAAAAGATGTAAACAACAAAATAAAAATGGATGATTTCTATTGTAAGTGAAAGAGCTACACACCTCGTGTAAATTCTGCTTTCTTCATGAACTTCCATCTCAGTGCTCTTGTAATCGTTGAGCTCCTTCCGGATGGCTGCCTGTGAGAACACTCTGTTAACTCTGAGCCAACATGCCAAACATCTGACTTGGTGCCGTAATTATGCTAAACACTGTCCATTGAAAGTGTCCCTCTGAGCCTGAGACGATACGCTCTACGGTTGTGTAAAGCGAACCTTGTCGGCCGGAGTCAGCTTGGTCCACGGCTTGTCCGCCCTCCTGTCGTAGTCCTGGGCCTCGGTGACCTCCACGTACTCGTGGAACCGCAGGATCTTTCTCGCCTGTAGTTCTGCAACCGTGGGTCTTTGACTCAGCTGTAACAAACGGGAGCTTTAACGTTTACGCACAGTTTGATCTCTGACAAGCACACCAAGACTCTGGGATGTTGGGTGCTGATGAGTCGCTTCACCTTTCTGGTCAGCCGCCGCTTGATTTCACGAACCTCAGCTTGTCTGTCAGCCTGGTTCTTGGCTGCAGAAAGAACGAGGACAGTGGGCGGGGGACAGGGTTTATTTTACACGTCTTCATGAAAGCTCGGTTTGATGAGCAGGAAAAAAAGCAGGCTCTAAAATTAGATAACCAAGTAACCTTTCAAGATGTTTTTCTTCCCCTGTTTGGTAGCGTGATTAGCTTAAATGCCAACACAACAGCCTGGACGATAAAACACACTGCACCAAAAGGTGGAGAGTTCACATCCTGACACATATTAGTGGAAACGGACAGAAAGGTGATACTGACGCTGAAGGATGTTTCGCTGCTCGAGCTCCTCGGCAGTGGGTCTCTGGCTAAGTCGTCTGATGTGGAAAAAGAAACAAAAGATAAATAGCGCTACTATTTTTACACCGTTTCATCACACTGACAGTCAGGCAGTAAGTAGGACGATGATCTAGGAGAACTAACGCGTTTCTATCAGAGGAGGAGCCGTTTACCGCGTGAGGGCCGTGCCGATCTGCGTGCGGATGGCCTCCCACTGCTCCCTGCTCTGCCAGGTGAGGCCCGTCTGCCCTGGAGGCTGGTCCTCCCTGCTGCTCCTCTCCTGAGTGAAGCGGTCCCTGTCGGGGGCACAGGGGCGGCTGCTGAGCTTCAGAGCCAGCGTGTCCTTCCTCTTCACCCTGCTGGCCAGGGCACCTGAGACAAGCCGGGACAAAGATCAGAGCCGTCCGGCGTCCTCCACCTAACCACGATTACAGGCGCTACACTCACTCGGCGGGGGTTCGTCCTCCTCGTCAGAGTCTTCGTCTTTAGGAGCATCTGACTCACTGTCCTCTCTCTTATGGTCTCCATCCTCGTCTTCCTCCTCCTCTTCATCACTGCTGTTTCCTCCAGGGATGATGCAAATGCCAGCATCACCCACCAGGCACCGGCGACTCCGAGGCTCCAGCTCAGGCTGAGGGATCTCACCATTGTACTCCTCCTCTTCCTCATCGTCCTCCTCTTCTTCCTCCTCTGAGTAGTCATCTTCAGATCTGAAAGAAAAGAAACATCTTTCACAAACTGGACTTGTTCTGGTCGTGTTTTCGTCTCCAGAGGAACTCACAGTTTTAGCGGTTGGATGCTGACGGGCAGAGGCCGACAGCGATCGCCCTGGTAATCCAGAGGAGTTTCAAACAGTAACGCGTGAGCACGCTGCGACCCGTCCGGGTGCGGCTGCGCCGGGCCGGGACTGGACAGGGCTCTCTGGATCATGATGTGCAGCGGGACAGGGGCCGGGCGTTGGGGGGACTCCGCGGTCGGGCTCGGGGGGTCGAACAGCATCGGTATGGGCTGGGGGAGCGGGTGAGGGTACGAGTGCTGATGGTGGAGGTGGTGGGTGTGTATGTGCTGGCGAGGTGGAGAGGGCGGTATGTGAGCAGGGAGGGGCGGGGAGGGGGGAGGAGGGGGCAGCTGGAAACTTACGGGGAGGCCGCTGTTGTCCTCGACAGAAAGAGGGGAGGGACTTATGGGATGGTTCTGGGCGGAGTCCTCTGTGCTGCGTTTCGTGACCGGAGTGGTCCTCTTCGGAGGCATTGGAGGTGACGGCTTGGCTGGATGTAGACTGGCCCCCCCCGGGGCTTGTGTGAAGTCACCTGAACATGGAAAAACCAAAGAGATAATCCAGATGTTCCTCATAAAGCAGCAGGGCTCCAGCTTACATGTGGGTCTTACACGGAGAGTCATGAGAGCACTGCTGCACACACACAGTGAGCCGCATCACAAGGCTGTGCCAGAGCGCACACAGAGCAGCGTGCATGAGCGTGAGCCCCCGGTCAAAGAGAAGATGCAAACATGCTCTTCACAGCCGCGCACCACCCCCTCCACCAGGGGCACACACCACCTCTCACAATAGAGCTTTAAATGCAGATCATCTCAGAGTGATTGATGTCATCGCTGTTAGGGTCAAAGCTTCAATATAAAATTAGTTTGATCATGTGATCGGCTGGTCCTCAAAGTGTGTGTCATATGTGAATCAACGCACAGGCACACAAACACACACACTCACTCACACACATGCATGCATGCACACACACTCACACACATGCTTGCACACACACACTCACGCATGCATGCACACACACACACTCACACACATGCATGCACACACACACTCACGCTTGCACACGCACACGCATGCATGCATGCATACACGCACACATGCATGCACACACACACAAACACACACGCATGCATGCACACACTCACACGCATGCATGCACACTCACGCATGCACGCACACACACACACACACGCATGCACGCTCACACACACACACACGCATGCACGCTCACACACACGCATGCACGCTCACACACACGCATGCACGCTCACACACACACACACACACACACACACACACACGCACGCACGCACGCACGCACGCACGCACGCACGCACACACACACACACACACACACACACACACACACCAAAGTCTTGTCACCCAGCTTTCGTCGTTGGGTGGTTGAGAATCAGCCTGCAGAAGCTGGCAGACCTTTCATGCTATCCCTTGCAGTAGTTTGCATGCAGTCTTAGCTACAAAAGTGAGCTTTATGCTCCTAAAATCCATAGAGCAGCTGCAAAGCAGCAGCAGAGCTGACAGCATGGCCGTACTACGGAGGTGACAGACACAACATGCAGTAGAGCCGCTCTGTGACGCATCACTTCTTCTCTACAATAAAAGTGATGCTCTGTCGTTGGCAGCTGGACCCCGCTCAAGGCTCTTCACATGTATCGTGTCTAAAATCTGCTCTTGCTCTGCACTTCGCCATCTGACAGACATCAGCTTGTTAAATGCATGCGGCTCTTATTCAGCTCGTCCAGAGAGAAGCATTAAAGGCCAATCAACAAGTTGGAGGCAGCAGGGAGGAAACACGCTAGAAAGGACACGACACCATGAGGAAGAGAGGGGGAGTGGGGAGGGATTCCAGATACCGACATCCTGATCTCCTCTTTACCTGAGCGCAGGCCTCCGGCCCGCCGGCACAGATAGACGGGCAGGGACAGGTAGACATCATAGTCGCACTCTCGCTTCCAGCAGGACCAGTAGAGGGGAAGCTGAGCGTTTTCTCCCCCCTGCAGGGCGGAGACTAACAGGGAGGAGATGGAGGCCTTCAGACGGAGCGTTTAGTGAAGCTACATAAGCTAAAGAGCAGGGATGGATGCTTCTACCCTAAATGTTCAGCTGGAAGCTAAACTAGCCTTTAAAATATGCAGACTGTTTTATCCCTAAAACAACACATTTTAAGGATTATTTTTAGAATGAATATTTTTAAATGATGAAAGTCGGATCCTGGTGAGTACCAGTAACAAAAGAGGAGAAAGCAAAGAAATTAATAAAAAGGATTTAAAACCAAATAAAACCCAGAGAACATGTTTTTAAATACGTACAGATGATTTAACATCAAAAAGGTAAAAGCGTGTTCCTTCTGACGTAACGTTACATCTGATGTAACACTAACGTTACATGTAAAAATGAATTATAATACAGAGCTGGCCCAAGAGGGAAACACACACACACACACGCACGCACGCACGCACGCACGCACGCACGCACACACACACACACACACACACACACACACACACACACACACACACACACACACACACACACACACTAGTCTTCATTATTTTGTAAAATGCTTGAAAACACTGAAGCTAAAGGAGTTCAGCCATACTAAATAAACTAGAAAGGGAAAAGCTGCTCAAGCTGTTGGGATCACATCATTACCAGGATGTGTGTGTGTGTGTGTGCGCGCGTGTGTGTGGTAGCTTTTCATTGTTCACAGACTTGTAAAAGTTCAGATTTCCTGAAGGAAATTAGCATTCTGATTGCTAACAGAAGGGTTTAGTAGGACTCACCCAGCATGGCGGCGTTGCCCCTGTTCACTGGCTTGGGTGGAGGCGGGGGGGGCTGCTTGGTGGTCTGAGAGGTGGAGGTCTGCTGAGTGCTCGTACCCGCAGAAGCCACAGACCGGACGGGTTTGGACGTCGCGGTGGAGGGGGAGGAAAACTGAGGGGGGAGGTGGTTGGACGGTGTCCGCGGCGGACCGTTGCTGCCGGGCTCTGGGGTCGAACTGATCAGCCACTTTGGAGGTACGACGGACTGTTTAGGTGGCAGAGGTTCACGCAGGCTGTCCTGCAGGGCGTCTGGGTCAGGAACAAAATGGCTGTCTGACTCTGTTAACAGAAAAAGTACCACAGGGGTGAGTTCTGTAAGCAAAGTTCAGTCCACTGACAGAAAATTCATCAGCAGCAGCAGACTGGGCTTAGATCCCCGATGTTAAGGCTAAAGGACTAAGCCTCTCTGTTCTGTTAAAGTTGTTTGTTTTGTTAAAGCTGACGTGCACGTGTGTGAAAATCACATTGTCTGATTTTTAAAGAATTTATTTGCAATTATGGTGGAAAACAGGCAATATTTCTGGCTCTCAGACCTGGAACTTCTTCTGTAAGAAGCTCCTCTGTCCCCCTGTTGGAACTCGTCATCAGTATAAAGGACACCTGTCCACAACCTCAGTCACTCCAAACTCCACTATGGACAAGACCAAAGAGCTGTCAATAGACACCAGAAACAGACTTGTTGACCTGCACAAGGCTGGGAAGACTGGATCTGCAACAGATAAGCAGCTCGGAGTGAGGATATCAGCGGTAGGAGCAGTTATTAGACAGTGGGAGACCTACAAGAAGACCACTGATAATCTCCCTCCATCAGGAGCTCCACACAAGATCTCACCCTGTGGGGTCCAAATGAAGCTCCTCCTGAATCTGAGGTTCGACAGTCTGTCGGACCCTCTTCTCCAGAACCCCTGAATACTTTACAAGGAGTGTGATCTCCCTGTAGTTGGAACATGTCCTGTGGTCCCCCTTTTTTAAATAGGGGGACCACCACCCCAGTCTGCCAATCCAGTGGAACTTCCCCTGATGTCCACGTGATATTGCAGAGCAACACAACATCGTACTCTTTATTTGTTGTAATGTAGGAGGACCTGCTCGAAAGCGTGATGTCACATCTCAAGCGGTTTATCCTCCTGAAAAACATAAGTCAGATAAGCCCAAAGCCCCCGGACTCTCCTCCTTCACCGGAGGACGTTTCGGTGGGATCGAGGACGTCCTGTTCCTGAGCTGAGGTGAGCACTCTCTCCACACTAACCATCTCTGAGACAATCTTCCACAGGTGAGGAGCGGAGGGAGCGGCAGGTGCGCCGAATCTCCAATCTGGAGGTCGGGTATAAAGGGAGGATGGAGACACCACACTACGCCGGATGATTGCACCTGTTAGGTAGCCCCAGCCTCTTGACTTTGCTTGCTCGTTTCGCTCGTTTGAATTTGATATTGGATTTTTTGGATCTGAACCTTGGACTGTTTTTTCTGGATTAAGCTTTTGGATTCTCCTCTGAACCCTGTTTGTTACTCTGTTCAGGAAACATCACTCTGCACAATTCTCTCGCCGCTCAAACCCCGGATTTCCCGAACCACGTTCTATCCTCCTCTACAACTCCTGCCTGTTCATCTCCGCTGCCTCACCCGCCTCAGCCCGCTGAAGCTCCACCAGCACTCACCTTGACAACCCACCTTTCCCACACATATTGGACTATTACATGGACTAAAGTCGAACGGCACATCCTCACTGGACTTTCCAGTGCACCTTTTGTTCCTGTTTTAAAAATAAAATAACTTTTCTTTTACTCACTCATTGAAGTCGTGTTGATTCTGCATTTCTTGGGTTAAACACCTCCCTCGAGTCATGACAGAGGAGGCCTTCGCAGTACACCGCCCACCGATCCACAACGTCCCAAGTCCAGGTCAGCAGCACCGTCCCCACTACTGAATTATTGTCCAGCCCTAATTTAGATGGACTTTTGCTGTTGACCAAATACTTATTTTCCACCATAATTAGCAAATAAATTCTTTAAAAATCAGACAATGTATTTTACTGGATACTTAAAGATTATGATACTTCTGTTTCTTGGAAGAAAAATATAATGAAAAATAAATAAACAAATAAATAAATAAACAAACAAATAAATAAATAAAAAAGGACCGACTAAAACATTCTGAATCTAAAGGATCACAAATGTTCATCCTCAGAAGTCTTTGGCTTTCAAATCGTGTTCTGACTTTAGTTGGTGTAAAAACTAGCATCAGATTTGGTTCTGTCATCGTCTCCATCGTCTTTTTTCTGCTCTGATTTGAAGACACCAGCCACCTAACACCTATCTGACTAGACTTGTTGTCTTTCTTTATCTAAACTGTGAATTAGAGCTTATTTTCTGTATTTATAATAGAGTTCTGCAAATCAGTAAAAACACCCTTCAGCTGTTTGAGGTTTCTTCCTGTTAAAGGGGAGTTTTCCTCTCCACTGTCGCTACATACTTGCTTAGTATGAGGATTGCTGTAAAGACTCTGACACTACAAGTCAGTGACTCGATGCAACCTGCTGGGTTTCCTTAGTTAGGAAACTTTTCAGTAATTGGAATAATGAGCTGAGCTCAGTGCACTAATATGTAGGCTCCAATGGAAGGTTTAGTTAGTAATGAGCCTTGAGACGACTCTTGTTGTGAGTTGGCGCTACATAAATAAACTGAACTGAATAATCCCCGAGTTTGGAAATGAACACAAAAACAGATAAATCAGCAGAGCTGGTTAAAAATCACGAATCCAGCAGGGAAAACTCTCAGCTGCGTCCAGTCGGCTTCAAGAAAAACCCTCAGGAATATAATCTGTGAACTTTGAGACCATTAATCCTCAGATAAAACGTCATGATGGTGAGAGCAGGAGGAAGAGCTGAACCAGGTCTGAAACAGTCTGAGCCTCTGGGCTGGCTTGAGAGCTGCGTTATCTGGGGATCAGCTGAGAAGGTAAACAGTGTAGACGGCTGCAATTACCACCGAAACACCCACCCACCCCCCTCTACCCACCCCCACACCGCTGCTGCTGCTCCCACGCCATTCCTCAAACTCACGGCTCTGAGTTGTTTATTTACAGATGAACCTTCATCACTGTGACATCACTCAGCTGATACGGAAAACATCCAGAACAAAGCAGGAGGTTGGAAAGAAGAGAAGAATGAAATAAAGGTGCAGCAGGATTTGAAGAAAAGGTGAATGAAGCTGCCTTAGAGGAATACACAGGCAGGAAAAATCTCACAAGTCAGACACAACTTCCTGTTGTCACTGATTTGTTTCTCCTCTCAGTCACACGCTTGTCCACACAGGATGGATGAGCATCAGAGCAGAGTTGGCTGTAGTTGTCAGAGGCGGCTTTTGGCCTCTCACAGCTCTCACGATGTGAGCGTTAAAGGCGTGAGGATGGGTGTAGTGATGGTGGCACATTAATTAGGAGGAGCTTCTCCCTCGTGTTCCTGAATAAGAAGCTGGAGCAAGCCTCCTGAGAGCAAGCAGGAGACTGTCTATATCTGGGAGGACAGCACATGAGCTGAGGGAACAGCAGCAGAGCCGAAGACTCACCTGATACCTGGTACATGAGCAAGATTAAAACGGGAACGGTGCACCTAATCCTTCAGCACTAAAGGATCTCAGAGGGGGAGAAGCATAAAGCTCACCTCTGCGAGCTCTCCCCTCCTCTGCAGATGCGTGTCGAGGGAGCGTGGGCTTCCAGTCTGCTTCTGCAGGCCGGCTCCTCCTGCCGTCCTCTGACGGGGCCTTCTGCAGCCCCGGCCTCCTGTATCCATCCTCGGGGTAAAGTCTGCCCCCACACCTTCCTCCCTCCTTCTGCTCATGAATCTGCCCGTGCCGAGCCAGGTTAGACTTCCACTCCCCCTCCCCATGTGCGCGTGTCCCCATTCCTCCACTTCTCCACACCTCTTCAATTCCTGTGCCCCTGGAGCTTAAAGCTCCGCGGTGGTGTCCATCGGGGGGCGAGTGGCCCCTGCGATCCTCCGGCTGGGTGAACCTCACAGGGTTCATCCTAAAGTCTGAGTCTGCTGGGGCTGTGGCCTGGTTGGACGGGCTCCTAACAGAGCTGATCCCTCCTGGTCCTCCAACCCCGACAGGAAGAGTGTGACCATTTTTCACATGGGTTTGTTTTACATTCTGTGAGTCTGCATCTGAATAGGTAGGCCAAGAAATAAAAATATCAGATCAGATGACAGGAAACATGACAAAGTTTATAAAATACCAGACATTCTGAACACACACACACACACACACACTACAGGGCCTAGATCAACTGTCTGCAAACAAATGTATGCATGCTCCGTTCTGAAGGTCAAACAAGATTAGTGAACAGGATCTGACATAAACAAAAGGAGTCACTGGAAGCAGCGTAACCTTGAGGCATGAGAATTAGATGCATCTTTCATGTGAAACTCAGTTTTATCTGAAATTAAGTCAACTTCTTACCATTTCTTCCCGTAGAGCTTGCCTGTCAAGCATTCACCCCCGTTCATAGCAGTGTGTGCAGGACAAGCATCATCTGTAGTTTTCATATTTATGCATCATTCCCACATCTGGCCTCAGCTGTTTCAGGCTCTTTTTATCGTTACTTTACTTCTGTTTGCTGTCAGATCTATTTACTGATCCGACATTTTTAATAGTAAACAAAGTAGCCAGAAAAAAGAAGAAGGATTCATCCTGTAGGCGAGCCCCAAAGACATGTTCAGTGTTTGTTGGAGTGATGAAGCAGCAGCTGTAGGTTTAATAAATGAGCTTCTGTAGCATGGGGTGGGGGGGTGGGGGGTGGGGGGGGGGGGTGCAGAAAGCCTACACTCCTCTCCAAGCTTTGTTGCTGCAGGGCATCATTTGTTCCACTTTCCCTGAGCTCTGGAGAGCGGCATGTAATTTTAAACAGCTATTGCATTACTGTGAAAAACATCAAGCCTCTTTAGAAATAGGCCTCAGACACCGGTGAGAGGGTGTGTGTGTGTGTGTGCGTGTGTGTGTGTGGGGTCTCCTGGAGACCAGGTGTCAGGAACAAACATCGCTCCTCAAACAGACCAGGTGGAGCTTCTTACCGTTGTCTGGGACCTCCTTCAGCACTCCTTGTTCTATCAGTTCCTGTCGCGTACGCCTCGTCGACATCTTCCTCTCCAGCTCTGCCGCGAACAAACACAGTTCACTCAAGTTTAATCATCTTTTGGTTGCAGAAACACATCGTGGTCACAGGAAAGCTTTGAAGCCCTACGAGCGCACACACATTGAGGAGTTATATGGTAAATGGCCTGTATTTGATATAGCGCCTTCTAGAGTCCTGGAACCCCCCATGGCGCTTTACAACACAATCAGTCATTCACCCATTCACACACTGGTGGTGATGAGCTACGATGTAGCCACAGCTGCCCTGGGGCTCACTGACAGAGGTGAGGCTGCCGAGCACTGGCGCCACCAGTCCCTCCGACCACCACCAGCAGGCAAGGTGGGTTAAGTGTCTTGCCCAAGGACACAACGACAGCGACAGACTGAGCGGGGCTCGAACCTGCAACCTTCCGATTACGGGGCGAGCACTTAACTCCTGTGCCACCGTCGCCCCAATGATATGATATGATGAGACTCATCAATACAATCAGCGACCGGGGGGGGGGGGGGGGGGGGGGGGTGGGGGGGTGCAGACTACAAATGGCACAAACCTTCAGATGTTTCCTTGAACTTCTCGCTGCTCTTCTTCTTCCGCCACTTCCAGGGTTTGAAGATCTTGCCAAGGGTGGAAAACTTGCCTTTGCGCTTTGGGGGAGGGGTGCCATCCCCGGTGCTGCCCCCCTCTCCCACAACGGTGCTGTGGTGCTGCTCGGCTTCATCATCTAAACATCAGACAAAAACAACTATTTTAAAACACAGAGGAGACTCTTTAAAGCTCAGATCCAAACGCCATCAGGTCCATCAGTCGTCATTCCTACTCTTGACTGATCGTTGCTGCCTTTGTAACAGCATCACGGCCCGTATCATCTCCAGCTGATGGCTCTGCTCGTGCTTTGACAAGGTGACGCTGAGAGCTCGTGGACTCCTTCGAAAGGCCACAGCGAACAAGAGAAGCCTGACGATGGCAATCAGCCAAGGGTTGCTCTCTGTCAAGGGCTCACATTCCTCTGCTGGATGGAGACTGGAGCCTTATCAGCCCCTCTGCTGAGACGAGGAGGGCTACACACTACAGCTCAGTCAACACACGGCACACGGCTAACAGTCGGTAAACGAGACCCTTTTCCGAGGAACGCTGATCATTGCATCACTGCGGCGTTAAACGGCATTCTGCAGGAGAGGCTACATATTCTGGGATCAGTGATTGACAGGTTCTCTGACAAAGTGCTGAGCTCGAGGAGAGTCTCTGTTTTAGAGGCTGCAGCTGCTGGGTTCAGCAGACATAATATTTACCAGAGGAAGGAGAGCAGAGTCCGATCTGAAACATCCAGGCTCGTGCACGCACAGGATGCGTTGGCGTCAGTCTCATTCCCACAGTATGCTCTCACACAATGCTGATACAGGCCAGGAAGGGACACCGCAGCACTAAGACCGATTTAAAGTGACTACAGGGTTAACAAGGATCAGCAGCGCCGCAGCAGCTGGGGTTTCATTTCTCACTAAAACACGCCCTAATGGTCGTTCCATCTCATGCATTTCTTGTCTATCCCATCTAAAAGCAAGCACCGGTCTACCTGGGAGAGGCGTGTTAAGGGTCCAGCTTCTATAGTGGGACCTGAAACAGCAAGCCATGGAGGCACTGGGAGCATTCGGAAACCACAAAGTTCCAACTCTCCAGTGTGTATCCAAAGAATTAACTCAATGAGGAAGGAAGGCAGGATGAGCAGGTTCCAAGGTGAAACTAAGACGGAGAGGGTCCGGGTTCAACAGGCAGGTCCAAACCGCAGAAATCCATCTTATCTCGGAGAGGTAGGAGTCTGGGAATTCAGACCAGCTGCCATAACATCCAGATTAGGCACTGCTCTAAGAGGCTTCTCTGTGATGGAGGTTCTCACGCAGAGGAGACCATCGCACTGGAAACGCCTCTATCGGAGGGGCTGAGCTGAGCCAGGGAGGCAGCATGAGAGCTGGTTGTGTCGGGCCTGCACGCCGAGCGCTGCGGAGACGAGGATCAGAGAGTGACGATATCCGTAAAAGACTTGGACGCAGGCCAATGAAGCTTGATAATTAAACGTGTCAATCCGCCATCGTAAACCAGGAAAAACAGCAGAACTGAGTCCTGCGACACGCCGAGGGTTCAGCTGTAGTCAGAAGAGGTTTGGACAGTTGTGTCCAGGAGCAATGTGGACCCAAAGAGCAACAAGGGAGTAAAAGTACAGACGCTTTGAGGTGAGGAGGCGGGGGGGCTGGAAACAGTCACACAATCAGGGTGGAGTGCCATTTCCTCCCGGAGAACAAAGACAGCCTCTTCCCCTCAAACTCAAAACGCTCTACCACCGGGATCACAGGAGTCTGGTGCTTCTAGATCAGGGTAGGCAACCCCGGCCCTACAGAGTCCAGCACGTTTTAGTGATGTCTCTGAATAAACACACCTGATTTTAATCAGCAGGCTTCTGCTGTGAACCAACTGTGTTGAAGCAGGGAATCAACTAAAACATGCTGGACCAGGTTGGCTTTCCCTGTGTTTGATGCAGAAACGTCGGTCAGCGGTGGTCTGTTCTCCAATCAGACGCTCTTCCACGAGAGAAGCCAGTCGGAAAACACGGGGTGTGTGACCTCGTCGATGTAGCTCTTCCTCCTCCAGCATCTCCCCGAGGGGCCACGTTACTCCGGTCAGGTGAGCCTCAAAGCCACGCCGACCACTTACATAAGACACCCACATCCCTCCAACTACTGGGAAACACCTCCAACCTCAACAAAAGCTTTCCTCGTGCCAGGGCAGATTATGAATTCAATCTGAGCACAGCGGCCATAACCAGTGTTTGTGTTCCAGTCAACATGTAGAAGCAACATTAGGTCAGAGAACTCCCTCAGAGTCACCAAACGCCTCTTTGTCGTGCTAATTCTGCTAGTGTGCAGCACATCCACATGATCCCAGTGATTTAACATTCCTCGTGGTGGTGAAAGCGAAGGAGCGAACTGCGAAGCTGATTACACAATCTCCGGCCCTTCTCTCTCCGGTGTTTAGAGTCTTTGAAAAACGCTCAAATCAGAGATGCGAACGTTTGCGGTGAAGCAAAACCAAACAAAGTGCTGAAGTGAGGTCTGAAACTCACCGCCGGGGTTGTGCTGCTGCGGGTTCTGAGCTGGCGTCTCCACACCAAAGCCCTGTCCCATGATCCAGCCCCCCAGGGGCCTCTACCTGTCCTCCACCCAGGACTGTCTGCTCCACACCAGGCCGATCCGCAGCAGCACCTGCCTTGCTGAAAAGCTCCCTCAGATCCTTTCTTCTCTTCGTCTCATCAGCATTTACTCTATGCTTTCAGCCCCCCCCCCCCCCCCCACACACACACACCACCACACACCAATCCCTCCTTCTCTCAAGCTTCTTAAGATTTCCCTCCCTCCCTGCAGGAGATGGGACTCCCTCTCCCCCACACTTGAGTGACCCTCCCTCCTTGGCTCGCAGCACAGATCAGCATTCACTGACGGATGCCTACCATTCCTGGGAGAAAGACCAGTTATGTTTTTAATTTGGCATGCATGCTGCGGTCTGTGGCGCTTTGTGTGGATCCAGTCGTACAGATTCAGTGTGAAGCACGTTAGAAATCAGGAAAAAGCCTTAAATTAAAAAAAAAAGATTCAACCGGAACAAAAGAAACAAGTCTTCACGCCGCAAATGTCAGACGGACCCTGATCCATGTCAGTAAAACAGAAGCTACTGTTCTCAGCAGCGAGTGAGAGGGTGAGGGTTTTAGGGAATCTGAAGACAGAGGAGACAGGAAAAAGACAGGGTGGTGTTGGAGAAACATCTAGGATTACTGGGATGAGGTGGTTTTCTGGGATTGAACTAAATGATTCGTTAGGATTCATTTGAGATTCTCTAAACGGTTCTCCGCTGGTTTATTTACAGCCCTGTTGTGTTTTCAGTCGGCCAATCTGCCTTTTTAACCAAGTCCGAAACAACAGTTTGTGGAAAAACACAAAGAAGGAAAACAGGAGGGCTCGGAAAAGTCGGATCTGCCATTAAGCTCAAACTAAAGTGAGTCTTTTGCTCTGAGATTAAAGGAATAATGATGGATTCTGAGCGGATTGATAGGACAACAGCTAGTCAGCTGGGCCAAGACCAAAATGGACTATGAAAGGGTCCGTCAGGGGGCCGCTTTCCCTTTACCTGCTGAGACACAGCCAGAAGAGAAAGTAGGAGCTTGTTTTGTTTTGGATGTAAACAAAGTGAGAAGCTCTGTTTACAGATGCCTACAGAAGAACATGTGGCGTCGAGAGCAGCTCTTCCCAAAGCTTGGGTCGGGACCCCACTCAGGGTCACAACGCACCAAGAGCGGGTCCTGAGCTGATTCCAGAAACGAATTTGGCAGAAAAAAAACACATGAGTGAAAACAATTTTTAGCCAAAAGATTAAAACTAGTTGGATAAATGGATACTTTTTATTATGCTTGTGCTTAAATTACTTGTGATATTTGTGTCCTTAGGGTGTGATAATTGGGGTCCCAACTAGACCCTTTGTAGGGCAAAAGCTGAGAAGTTTGGGAACCACTGGTTTAGAGCATCAGACTGGGTTTTGCTGCTGGTTCCCAGTGCTGCATCACTGCAGATTAGAGACAGAATCTCCAACTTGGGCCAGGAAATATGTCTCTAAAGGCAAATTCATGAAACTAAAGACAGAAAAAGCCCTAGCAGGAAGTGTTTATGATGCTGCTCAGAACTCCTCGTGCCTACAGAAACCTCATTTTTAACTTTCCATTCAGTTTTAGATGTCCTGGAAGAATTAAAAGGACTCTGATACACAAAATCACTTCTGCTTTAGGCATTTTTACAGAGAAGTACAGAAAAAGAAACAGCTTTTCTAAACCAAAAACAACGACAAGGTGAACTTGGACCCCCTGAATCAGTTCTCTGGCTCCTTTTGAGGTTTGAGTGACTTCAGGCAGCCCAGAGAGGGGTCCAGCGTGCCGGGCGGCCTCTATAGATCAGAGTCTTTAAGAGTGTTTGGCTGCATCTCGAGCTGCTTGTGAAGATGAAGAGCTAGTGTTCGGCAGCGCTGCTTCTCTCTCCCTCCGTGGCCCACATACAGCCTTCACACCGGGCCGGCTTCCAGAGAGAACTGAGCCAATTCGCATGGGCCCAGAACCTGCTGGCCTGACCTGGATAACAGACTGGGCCGGGCTCCTTCAGCACGCAGGCCAGCTGACTCAGTTACAGACATATGTTGGCACGATGGGCGAGCCACGTCCATCAACATGAGTTTGGAAGACGAACAGCTCTTTCTACAGAGGATTAAAGTGTGACTTTAGATCACCAGTAGGTGTCGCACTAGAGCAACAAACTAGCCCAAAGTAAAACCAACCTTCCAACCATAGCATGGAGAATGTTCTATAGAGCATCTCCTTCTCATCGCGTGTTACTGGGGAAGAGTTTTCCACGCACAGATAATTAAAGCGAAGGCCACAGGGTTGTAAACACGAGGCACTGAACCCAGCTGATAATGCTTCTATACTAGCTTAAAACACAATCCCAACACTTCTGAAAAATGTCCGAAGATGTTCTTCTGTCATACAGCAGCTAGACAATGGTGTGACTTTTATTCTGAAGAACATACAGGAAGTCTGGAGTTACACTAGGACACCGAGCACAATCACACCTAAAAACGTCCACGTGTTCAGGCTGTTAAACAAAAGGGAACCGCTTCTGTTTGCTTACTGTGAATAAAAAGCAGAGTCTGTTTTCAAGGTGAGAACTTCCTGTTCCTGTACAGCTGATGATGTCATTACAAAAGAAAGGATTGATGCTGCTGCACAAGAGATGAGCACCAACACCTCAAAAGACCACCGTGTCCAAGGGAAGCAGGAGATAGTTCTGAGGGTTGCAGGATATTAGAGGAAAATGTGTGAGCGTGCACTCAGCTCTGAGAGACTCATAGATGCTCACTGTGGAGGTTTAATGAGACGAGAAGAGTTAAAACATCCCGACAGTCCCTCGGTACTCACCACGATTTTCCATCACAGAGAATGAGGCGCGCCAATCACTGCGTCCTGAAAAATACAAATACTTAGAGTCAGAGCTGGTTTGAACGTGAGCTGAGTGTTTTAGTTCACTTCACATTTTACTTTTGTAAACAAACACAAATAACACGTGAGCCTGTCATTACAGTGACTTTTATTATGAAAGGGTCAGGGTCAAAAAGAGAGAGGCAGCTCATGCCAGATATAATTGTTAATCGTTTGTGTTAATTACTATTCTTAACAATAGTGTTAAGAATCGGAGCCCTTTGGAAACAGGACAGAGAGGACGTACACTGGAGAATGTCATGGATGGTGTAGGGACGGCTGAGGTCCTACGGAGCCGTTTGGATGAATTTCATTCGTTTTTCCTGCATGCTGGTGACAGCAGCTCCACCCATCCTAACCACTCTGAAAGAAAGAAAATAACATACAAGATTCTCATATGACCCAAACATCAAACATCCCACTCCCAGCTCCCTCTGGAGATCCCCTGTTGCTCCCAGGAAGTAGATGATCGATAATCCCTCCAGTGAGTTCGGAAGATTACAGGCTTGTCTTGAAGACATAAAAAAATTAGATGACTCTAAACGTTCAGCTTTTAAATCAAGACGAGACTGTAGTTCTCACCTTTGGGCCTGAAATTCAGAAAAGGAAATTACTTGGGTCAATCACCTGACCTGAACCGAGAACAAAGTAAGGAACCTTGGTGTTATCTTTGACCAGGACATGTCATTAGAATCCCAGGTTAAACAGGTTTGTAGGATTTCCTTCTTCCACCTTCAGAATATTGCTAAGATTAGAAGCATCCTTTCCAGAAGTGATGCTGAAAAACTAGTTCATGCATTTATTACATCAAGACTGGATTACTGTAATTCATTACTCTCAGGAAGTCCACAGAATGTAGTTTAAAGTCTTCAGCTTGTCCAAAATGCTGCAGCTAGAGTTCTGATGAGAATTAAAAAGAGAGATCATATCTCTCCTGTCTTAGCTTCCCTACATTGGCTACCTGTTAAATTCAGAATAGATTTTAAGATCCTTCTTCTCACATATAAAGCTCTTAATAATCAAGGTCCATCGTACATCAGTGATCTGATTGTTCCATATGTTCCTAACCGAGCACTTCGCTCTCACACTGCAGGTTTACTGATGGTTCCCAGAATATCTAAAAATAGGATGGGAGGCAGATCTTTTAGTTATCAGGCTCCTCTCCTGTGGAACTAGCTCCCAGCTTTAGTCCATGAGGCAGACACCTTGTCTACTTTTAAGACTAGGCTTAGAACATTTTTATTTGATAGGGCCTATGGTTAAAATCTGATGTTAGCTTAGATTTGGACAAGTGGGGGAGTAGACAAGTGGGGGAGTAGACAAGTGGGGGAGTAGTAGGGAGATGGAGTGTAGTCGTTAAAGACGGCTCTCCCTTGCCCTGCCTCCAACATGCCTACATCTAAAAGGCTAGGTTATCCAGAGTTATCTCTGTAGTTATGCTGCTATAGGCTTAGACTGCTGGAGGACACACTGGCCACTTTTCACACACGACTACTTTCTTCTACAATCTGCTCTTTAACTGTATTATTTTCTGCTATTTCAGCTGTTAACTTTATTTTTTCTCTAAGTGTTTTTCTCCCCAGAAGAAGCTACAATGATGTTCTGCTGAGCTGTGGTGGCCTCATGGAGGGGGCCATCGTCTAGCACACTGCTGCTAACCACTTAAACTTTCTCCCTCCTGATAATAACTTTTTGCTTTCCTTGACGTTGGATGTGCTACTACTAGTTTACCCGTTTAACAATAGATTCACTAGGATAAATACAATAAAGTATGTGAAGAAATCACAATGTAACCATAGAAACACTACTTGGTATATATGTTTTGTGTGTGTGTGTGTGTGTGTGTGTGTGTGTGTGTGCGTGTGTGCTCTGTCTTCTCGATCCCCAGTGAGTCGTGGAGGATGGCTGCTTATACTGAGCCAGGATCCTCTGGAGGTTTCTTCCTGTTAAAAGGGAGTTTTCCTCTCCACTGTCGCTGCATGCTTGCTTAGTATGAGGACTGCTGTAAAGACATTGACACTAGTCAGTG